TATCACAATCTCTTGATCACCATTCCGTTGAGACAACACACCGCCAAGTCCTATATCACTTGCGTCTGTGTCAACTATGAATTCCTTGCCCGCATCAGGGTACCCCAAAATAGGTGTTTTGCACAGACGGTTCTTGAGCTCCTGGAATGCAATATCGCAACTTTCATCCCAGCAGAAATGTCGCTTCTCCTCGGTTAGCTTGTGCAGAGGTTTGGCTATATCTGCAAAGTTCTTCACAAATCGCCGATAATAAGAGCACAAACCCAAAAATGCTCTAACCTGTGTCTTGTCTTTTGGGACCGGCCACTCCTTGACAGCAGCAATTTTCTCTGGATCCAAGCGGATACCTTCTTCCGACACTACATACCCCAAAAAACTAACTTGCCGTTTGAATAGTGAGCACTTCTTTGGACTCAACTTGAGGTTGGCACTCTGGATCTTCATGAGCACGCGTTCCAGGTTTTGAAGGTGTTCCTCAAACGTACGGCCTACGATGATGATGTCATCCAAATAGACGAGACAGGCATCTCCAATTAGCCCGGTAAGTACAAGCTCCATCAACCTTTCAAACGTTGCTGGAGCATTGCACAATCCAAACGGCATGACTTTAAATTGCCACAGGCCCTTTCCTGTGGAGAATGCAGTTTTCTCCTTGTCCTTAGGGTCAATTTCAACCTGCCAGTAGCCACTTTTCAGATCCCGCGTACTAAACCACTTTACGCCTGTAAGCATGTCCAGCGTGTCATCAATTCTTGGCAAGGGATAGCTGTCCTTCTTTGTAACGTCGTTCAGGTGGCGGTAGTCAACACAAAACCGCATGCTGCCGTCCTTCTTTACCAGCACCACAGGTGAACACCATGGACTAGATGAAGGTTCAATAACACCATCCTTCACCATTCCCTCAATCATGGTTTCCACTTCCTTTTCACGTGCTACAGGCAATCTTCTTGGCCGCTGACGAATAGGCAATTCTTGTCCTGTGTTTATTTTGTGTTGAACTAAGCTAGTCTTTCCTATGTCAGCTTCGTTTGACGAGAAAACATTGGCGTACTTGAGTAACAACTTCTTCGCTTTGACCGTTTCATTCGGGGAGAGAACGCTGCGACAGTCTTCTAAAAGTGTGGTCACTCTAGTTTGTCCATCCTTGCTGGGGGTCCCAGTCGATAGATATTCGCACCGACGCAACCAATCCACTTCCTCACTAGTACCAACCAATGTGCCTTTTTCTATAATCTGTTCCTGATCACAAAGGTTCAGCACACGTACTCCTGAGATGTCGGCGGTTCTGACCAAGGTTCGAGCCACTTTCCATGGAAGGTCATTGTCTACCCTTTCCACGAGTACACAACGAAGAGTTTGCCCAGGATTCCGTGGAAGTCTAACCGGCACAATCGTTTCCGATCTCGGCGGAAGAACAATCTTCTTAAGGCTGTACACATTCCCTGGTAACGCCCCTTCTACGAAAAGTTCCTCTTGTCCACATTTCAAAACACCTTGCTTAACGTCGATCTCACAACAATTCTTCCTCATAAAGTCTAGGCCCAGGATGCAGTCGTCCATTATATCAGCCACGATGACATTATGCAGGTAGATCATGTTGCCTAGCTTCAACTCCATCTCCTTCTCTCCACGGACGGGTATGCGCTGACCGGTGGCTGTCACCAAATTAATGCGTTCTCGGTTGTATGCGGAGTCCCCAAGGAACCGACTTATAAGTTGGGAACTGACAACCGTGCGAGAGGCTCCAGTGTCTATGGTCAGTTTACACGGCGTTCCGTTGACTTCGCCCTTGATGATTAGGCTGTTCCCATCATGGGTTTGTGAGATCGAAATCCTTGGGGCTCTTTTAACATCAGCCAGCACCCGCCAGTTTCCCTGCTGTTGCTGGGCGGTGCTGTCAGCCACACTACCCTCTCGATATTGATCACCTTCCCTTTCTACAGTTCGTTTAGGGCAGCTGGATCGAAGATGGCCCCTTTCCCCACAGCCGTAGCACCTAGGGCTGTAGCCCTTATTGCGGTCCTGAACTGTAGCTGCTGCAACCTCCCTGACGCGGTGGGAACGATGATCCTGCCGCACGGCTTCCACCTCCAGTGCATGGGTCAAGGCGTCCTTAAGCGTCTCGTGGTGCCCGAGCCTCACAGCAGCTCTGACTTTAAGGTCGCGGATGCCGTCGATGAATGTCTGCACCAGGTTCCCTACAATGAGCGCAGGTACAGACTGGTACGCTTTTCGAACCAGCTTCTCCACCTCAAGGGCCCACTGCTGCAGGTTTTCGTTACTGCGTTGCACGCGATCTTTGAGCTGCGCACGAAAGACGTGTTCCAGGTGAGCATCGCCATATCTTGCCTCCAATGCCTCAAGGAGCTGCTCGTAAGTTACTTCCTTACCGAGAGCTTCCAGAACAGTTAAGGCCTGGTCGCGTAGGCCTAGGGTGAGAGCAGTCATGGCCTGACTTTTATTCCAGCCGTTCGCTTTCATGACAGCCTCGAACTGGATTTTGTAGGCCGACCAGGAAGAACACCCGTCGAACGGCGGCACTTTGAATCCACGTAGCGAAGGTGTTGTAGCTACTACGGGAGCTGTAATTCCATCCCCAAGTTTGAGGTCGTCCAGCGTTTTCTTCACATCAGCCATCACGTTGTCAACCCGATTGTTCACTTGGTCGATTCGGGTTTCAGCTTCCGACAGGCGGTTGTCATGTTGAGCAACCCTATCCTTCACCTCCTTTATCTCTTTCCCGAAGGTAGCGTGAAGGTCCTTCCTGAGGAGCATCTGTTCTTCCATACCGCGCTGCAGCTGCTCTTCCAACCGACGGGTCTGTTCCTCTTGTCGGCGGGCCTGTTCCTCCTGTCGGCGAGCCTGTTCCTCCTGTCGGCGAGCCTGTTCCTCCTGTCGGCGAGCCTGTTCCTCCTGTCGGCGAGCCTGATCCTGCAGCATCATCATCAGAGCACCTAAGTCAGGTGCTGCAGATGCAGGAGCTGCTGACGGGCCGGCCTCCGTGGTTAGCAGCTGCCCCTCCGACGTTTGCGGCGTTGCATTACCAATTCGTCTCTGGTCCGTCTCCTGTTGGCGTTGACTTCGGGTACGGATACCCTCCGTGTCGTCTTTAGGTAAAATCGGCATATTTGATCCCACTTCTGACACCAATTGTTACGAGCTTGGGATTCGAGGCAATTAAAAACTGCCGATTGAATTACCAAAATTGACACTTTAATTACACAACACTAATTACAATCTAAAATTACACTAATAATAAAACACAGTTCGCCGTTATTTCGCTTCGAAGTAATCTCTTGTATCGCCAATTCAATACTGCCCCAGTCGTGGTCTATACCGGCCTTATATAGGGCCTCAGATAGTTTCCAGAACCTTCTACTGTAGCGACATCTAGAATGTTCGAGTACATATTGGTCCCGAAATTTCTAGAAGGATCTTGACTCTCCTAGTTCTGCTACTCGACACTAGAGGGCGCTAGTGGTAACTAGTGTTGCCATCTACAAGAGATTAATAGTGGCGCGCAACAATACTTTATTTTTAATAGTTTTAAGTGTTCAAGTTCAAATGTAAAATTAGAAAAGTAAGCTTAACTTTACTTAATAAAAAGAAATTATTTCAAAAAGTAATAATCAAGCTAAAGTAAATGAAGCTTCCGTAAACATTGATAAAAACAAAACGAAGATATAATATACCCGAACATGAGGTATGTAAAAACAACAATGTGACTCTGCAATGGATAAAGGGATACAGTGGATCCAGAGGTAACGATGCAGCAGATGAACTGGCCAGAAGAGGATCGGCTCTGGCCACTATTGGGCCAGAACCAATCATACCAATACCCTTTGGTAACATTCGTTCACTGGTACATAGACACTTCACTAATCAACACGCTCAGCTTTGGAAAAATCTAGTAGACTGTAAACAAGCTAGGGTGGCCTTGCCTGAAATAAACAGTTGTTTAACCAAAGTCCTAATGAGACTGAACAAGCCGCAGATCAGTGTCAAGTGCTATCACAGGACGCAACACCTTTAACATACATTAATTTACTATAGGTGTTACAGATAGTCCCCTGTGTTGGGCATGTATAGGGGAGGAAGAAATGGCGGCCCACATGCTACTGAAATGTCCGGAGGTCGCTACATGCAGGGCTAAACATCTCGGCACGCCGGGGTCACTCCCTGAAGTTGCATGCAACATCAAAGGACTGTTGAGCTTCTTCGGGGAGATCTCATGGCTCGAATAATTACATTATTCCTGTCCACATGCAAAACATGCGCATAGACGTGGAGTTGTGAAAAACAGCCCGTCGTAAACTAAACTAAACTACACCCGAACATTATAAAATTGTACACTGGACCCACATGCACTGCTAATAATCTTACCACACAGAACAAGAAAACTGAAATAAGACATAAACACTCACCATAGTGTAAGGGAGATTTACTATGATGCCAAAATGCACACTAAACAGAGCATCAACCACAACATGATTGTGATGCTCTAGTAGACTGAGGTATCAAATTTTCACAAACAAGGATATTTTATAACATAGTTGTATAATTTTTTTCATGTTATTTTGTGTAAGTAATAACAACCTTCAGACCAAATTTTTGTCATAGCGGCAAGTCTCAATGGAGATTAACTATCTGCACACAACAGAATTATAGTGTACGAGTGTGTGGGTGCAAACACAGGTGCTCTCTCTATTCACTCACTCTCATAGTCTAATGGGATGGCATACTGACATGACTAGAGAGAGATTGGGCGCAGGACTAAAGGATTAAATGCTTTCGGAGGCACATGGGTGAAACAAACAAACTATATTATGACTCTGGGCTGCTAATGAACTTATTGACAGAAAATCACAATAACCGATTTTGTTATGCCCCGGATTCAAACCTGGAACCACATGATGTGCAGTTGCACTTACAACCAACCAACAAGGCAGTCACTTTGTGTACGTCCATAAAATACCTACAAGCAACAAATTTAAACTCACCCACTGCTGGAGCATGAATATTATTTAAATAACTTTTAACTTCTTTTCCAACTTGCTCAGTAATGCAATTGTTATTTACCAGTATCTCAATCAACTTTGACATAGTAAATAGAGACCTCATTGATACATTGTTTGCTTCAAGGTTTTGCTTGCCACCCTGTTCTCTGTCTAAAATTATAACAGCTTCTTCAACTATAAGACCTTCATTTCTTAAATCTTTAACCGTTTCTAGCACACTAGAACCAGATGTTACAACATCTTCTACTATAATACATTTCTGATTTAGTTTATAATGGCCTTCAATAACTTTTTTGGTCCCGTAAGACTTCGCCTCCTTCCGTCTCATCAACATAGACTTCTTAGCTTCAACACTCAGTAATGTTGCAATAGGCAAAGCAGTATAAGGAACTCCACAAAAATAGTCATATTCACTTGTTTTCAATAGAAATTCAAAAAGGAGATGAGATATCAATTCCTGAAAAAACTTATTGCATTAGTTGAGCATTTCATATGATGTTATTATGTTATGATAATATGATTTCGTACCATTACCACAGGATAACTAACAATAACCCTCAAATCAAAGTATACCGGCGTTTTTATACCACTTTTAGTAGTAAATTCACCAAATTTCACAGCATCGATTTTAAACAAATTTAGGGCTAAATTTTCTAATTGTTTATTATAATCCATGGTACTTAATATATTTTGGGACCAAATAAGAATTTTTTTAAAATAAAAGGTAAGAAAGAGGTGGGCAGAGACAGAGGTAGATTAAAAATTAAAAAAAAAAAAGAAAAAAAATAGCGACTCAATCAATCTCAATCTCTTTTTTTATTAAGATTTTTGGCTTAGATGCTTGTCTTTTAAGTCATATCTTCATTTATCTGGTGATCTTCAGTTCCCCTATTTAGTGATAATAATCCTTTATAGTTATACTAGTTCACAATATGTTGATGTGTCACATAGCGTAGTGTTTGGAAGATTTTGACTACAACTTGAGCCAGCACTATTGTAACACTTTTCAACATTTCCACTAATAGTTCACATGCGCCGACATTTAATACAAAAAATCACACCACTACTACTATTATATATAAAAATATCAAAATCCACTTCGAACCATTATTTAAACAAGCGGTCAACCAGTCAAACTCCCGTTAAAACTCCCTGATTCAATCTCAACTACACACACAACTATGTAAAAGCTAAAACCACAGTTTTAAAACCTTACAGTTTTGAAACGCTTTTGATGTCCGGCGATGCCACCGCCCGCGTATGTTTTTAAGTGGCCAGCGTTTAGGTTAGAGATTGTCACGAAAATGGAAATAAAATGATTTTGGATATTATAATACTCATTATCATTTATTAACATTATGAATATACTTATAAATTAAAAATATTTATTGAACAAGAAGTTGCACTGCCAAATATTTTCGTGACACTTTCTTATTATAGATACGTACGTTTGTTAAGAGAAGGTAATTAATTTATTCTTTGTTACTACTAAATTAAAGTATATTTAGCGGTTTCTGGCAACTTTTCGCTAAGACGATAATTTAAATTTTTTTTGTCAACTGCGGCAATTTTTGGGAACTACTCTAGCAACTTTAATTTTTGTCAAGTGGCAACATTACTTTTCTCAACGTATTATTCTTTAAGGTCAGCCACATACATCCGGAATTCCATTTCGGGAATCCGTTTCGATATTCTGATTCGGAATTCCGTGAATGTGTTCGGAATGGCAAGGGTAAGTTGAGAGACGTTAGCCATTGAGGCTAGACATTCTGCTAGCGAATAATGACGACAATTTTCTGATTGCGATTCCATTGTTGCTGTATTATTTATTACTAGGTGCACCCCTTTATCACCCTAAGCTTGCAATATAGTTAATATTATGTAAAAAGATTTATCTATCCAGAGATATTTTTTAAATGTGGATGTCTGTAAACTCTTTTGATGAATTATTAAATGAAATAAGATGAAAGGTTACAAATAGCTATACATATATAAGATTAAATTTAAAAACATACATAAACACACCTACTCACTTCGGTCGTGCAACGAACACTGAGCGTGTTCCCTACGGAATTTACGAATGTATGTTGCGTCTCATACAAAATCTATGAAAGACTTGCGTTCAGAGCGGTTTTTTTCCGTTCGGGATTCCGATCACACAGGTAGCCATATGGACTCTCGAATCGGAGAAAATTCCGTACGGAGAATTACCGTACGTGTGTGGTGGGTCATAGATTTTATATGGACTTGCTGCGTTCGGAATTCCGAATCGGAATATCGAAACGGAATTCCGAAACGGAATTCCCTATATGTATGTGGCCGCCCTAATGCTTCCTTCTAAAGACGGACAAGTGAAAAAAAATATATCGATATACAGCCATGTTTTGCATGATGCACTAGGATAAGGCCTAAAGTTTTATAACTGACGTGACGGTTGGACGACGAAAAGTAAATGACAACAGCACATGAATGCTTTAGTAGTTGCTTTATTTACTTAATATTTTGCTGATTAATTCCACATTTCTAAATATATCGAAATTTATACGAATTTGATACTTTTAAATAAATATGAATGTCGATACACCGCGATAAATTAAAAATGTCATTATTTATAATTTTTCTATTTTATTAAAAATATCGACAATATTTGTCGATATTTTAATGATTGAATATCGATATGTCGATATTTTTATCCAAGCCTACAACATTCAGTCATTCACCATATGCGTAAGCATCATACTAGTCTGTGTTCACTGTTCACCGTCATTCATTCACCATTCACCATTTAAGATTCAGTTATGGTGGTAGTGTGTCGTGGTTGTCGTCAGTGTTTGTGTTTTTGTTATGATTGTAATTATAGTGACAATTTGTTACAAATTACTTTTAGCAGTTAAACCGTAATCTAATTTAATTATACTTATCAAATTAACTAAAATTGAGCTAGTTAGGGATTCCTTGGTCGGAATGGATTTTTCGTATAGTTTCATTTTCTACATTTATATATCTTTAAAAAATATATTCGTCTAAAACTCTAAAACATTAATTTTCCCTACCCAAATTATGTTAGCAGCAACTTTGTCATAGTTGTAACTAACCGAATAGCTATTTTAAGATTGTGAAATTGTTATTACTTTTTTCTATCGTCAAATTGGGACCCAGGTAGAGATTTGTGCGGGGTTAAGTAAGCCCACCCTCCTAACCGGACGAAGTGGGGTCCCCTCCCCTGTTATAGGGGATGTTGGGGTAGACAAAGGGTAGTTACCCCTGAACGGAGGGAGCTTGAGCCTTGGGCGACCGTTGGAAGGGATAACTATTTCAAGTTCGGTTTTTTCCCCTCCGATAACAAGTTGAGTGACTTCAGTGCGCGAGTGGTGTTAGAATTGTGAATTGTAGGTATATTGGGAAGCGGCTGGAACTATTTCGTACCATATGGATGAAAAAGTTGAAGGTAACTTAAAGTTTGATTAATTAGCAGTTACTAATATTAAGGTTTATTATATATTTGTATTACTTTGTTTTCGTAAAAAATTATGATTGTTTTTCTTCAACGTCAAGAGTAGTATCAGTCATTAGCAGTCAACTGCTGGATATATTTTAATTTGAAATTAATATGCGCGACATTATTGCTTGAGCTTGGAACGATTTACGGCAGTAATAGACGAATAATACGACGTAATGACTGATTCGAACCCATAACTTTTTATTTTTAAAAGTCCGTATCATGTACCTTTAACTAATAGTCTATTAGGTTACTGTCGCCACAGTGGTATGGTTTCCTCTACATACTACATTATTATATTATACTAGCGACCGCCCCGGCTTCGCACAGGTGATTTCTGGATCTTTACAATAGCGCCACCTACCGGGTCCAATTGTGAACCAGAAACTAGAGACCCACTCAAACGTAAACATAAAATTTCATCAAAACCGTTCATGTCGTTTTCGAGTTTTAGCGGCACTAACGGACAGCAATTTATTTTTATATATAGATGAGTTTGCTGCCGCCCGGAACCATTAGAGTCGAACTGCCCCTCCCCCTTCCACTTCAGTTTCGTGTGTATTTTAAAAATATAAAATCAGTACATAAAAGTCTTAATAACTTGTGTATAATATTTGAAAATGAATCTTCTACATCAGCTGTTAAAAGTCCACTGTTGGACATGTATCTCCCGTAGTAGATCTTTTAACTATTATTTATTCTGTGGTAGTAGGCAGGATTTGCATTACTCAAACTCTTGGCAGGTTTTATTTACTACTTTTATTAACTAACGCAGTACAAGATGTCTCGAAGCTTAATTGACGCTGCCGTTTTACGTTTGACGTACGTAAAGTTAAAAGCCATGAGCCATGTTAAAAGCAGATCTTTCTGATTTGTTCGATAGTCGCCCCTCACGACACCCCCGGCCCCCGGTACCGAATAAGTAGCTGGCGTACGCCGCACACACATGAAAGTATTAAGTCCACTTTGTTGTAGAGAATGCAATAAAGATTTAAAAATAAATAAATAATAAATCCGCTTAGTAGTGACGGTACCGCATATCATCCAGTGAGTGTAGCAGCGTTTTCTGAAAACGATCGCAAAAATAAAAAAAATAAACTGCAGCAAAATACCAATTATACATACGAGGGCGGGTCAAAAATTTTGTGGAATGGGGTTAGGAGGTTATAGAGATTTTTTTTAACTGTCACTACTTGGTGACTCAATACTACTCCAAATACCAAGTTTCATCAAGATCGGTTCATTAACCCTTGAGATATCACAGGATAAACAAGTCAATCGGGAAGTGAACACTAACTATGGAGAAAATTGAGCTTAATGCCTTGAAAGTTCCTCACTAAGGAGGAGGAAAAACGCCACATATAATTATGGAAGATATGTGTTCCTGCGTTAGGTGAACTTGTATAATAATTAAAACCATAAGCCACTGATAGAAGGATATAATGAATATAAAATTTATAAAATTAAATTGTGGTCAAAATGCTACTATATGTGCATACCATAGTGGCTTAAGGTAGTTGTCGACGATGTGGCGGGGGAGGGGAAAGGGGCGTCGTTGCCTATGCAAATCGCTTCCGGTGTGGCCGCAACAGATGTCACCTGTTTACGGAGACTAATAGGGAAAAACGATGATTTATAAGTGACATAGCCTTTTCAAGCAAGGCAAAGGCTCAATAGAAGTCGATCAGCGCTCAGGTCGACTGATTGAGGCGACTTCATAAGACATTATCGAAAAAGTTGAAATGATCGTCTGAAGGAAAAAACAGATCGAAGAAATTACTGGAGTGTCATCTACGACCGTTTTAAATATTCTCCATGTCTAAGGTCAGTGCAGGATGCCTGCCGAGAATGCTCACATCGCTTCAGAAACAGCATAGGATCGAGAGTTCGCGTGAGTTTTTGGACCTGTGTAGTAAGAACAGAGACGAAATTATGAACCGAATTGTCGCTGGGGATGAAACTTGGGTTCCTCACTATGGACCTGAGTCAAAGCAGGAGTTCATGCAGTGCCATAGGAAAGGCGCAGCACCGGCTAAATATTCCAAGGTGTCACAATCGACTATAAAGGTTATGGGTACAGCTTTTTGGGATTCAGAGAGGATTTTATTGATCTATTATAAAGATAAAGGTTTCAATATCACGGGACATTATTTGCCTACGCTAGTAGAAAAATTAA